TATTGTTTCTTACGGTTTTGTTACACTTTTGTATGTATTTAAGCGCAACCTATTTTTTTGAAGTTTTGTATATCCTATAAGTTTATAGGCTAGGTTCTGTAGCTTATTGTTGTCTTATACAATTTCCGTGGTGCTGGTTCTTTATATATATCTATTAATCTCTTGTTTAGAGGAGATTTTTTGATCTAGCTGACATGGATATCTTTGGATACATGGATACTAGAAAAGTTGACCTAGTTGAAGTTTTTAACCCTATCGGAGCTAGTAATTGTATTAACCTGGAAGAGAATTTTAAAAGTTTAAAACATCTTTTAGAAAAACAGATTAGAATTTGGTGGGATGTTAATACGTTGTTACTTTACCTAAAAGAAAAGATCACTCCTAGGCGTTTAGGATGGGATATACCTGATAATGATGGTTTGGATGATAAACATCTGATGGAGGAATGGTTTCTTTTTTTCAATCGCTGTGAAAGCAAGCTCTTGGAGTTAATTATTAAAAGGAGACAGGTGAAATTGAAAAAGATTGACTCCAGAATCAAAGAACTTAGAGACCTTATGTTGCCTTTTATAGACACTAATGATTACAAAGAAAAATCTAAAACTGTTCAAGATCATATCACTAAAGTTGATAGGGATACTAAGAATAAAAAAGTGAAGAAATATAAAATATATTGAAGATTATAAAATTAATAAAGTCTACAAATGGCAGGATTATGTTATTACTGGAGACTGTGACTCCAAACTCTCCACACCAGAGAATAAACAGACAATCAATTCCAAATCACCCCTTAAGAATACACCATTTGTTACACCCCCCTCCAAAAATAAAGTCATGTTTCAAAGGCATGTGGATAAAATTACCCATACACCTGAGGACACTTTTCAGCAACATTACTATCCTAATAGAGGACATGGTAGGCCTTATAGGCAATATCCTAGTTCTGATAGAACAGGAGGATCTAGAGACGGATTGAACAGGAGAGGTGGGTTTCATGGCAATTTTCCCAATAGAGGGGGTTTTCACAGCTATTACAGAGGAGGACATATGAATCAAAGAGGCTTCAGACCTCAAGAAAGGGATTGGAGAAAACAGGGGAACTTTGGCAGAGAGGAAAGAATAGAAGATGTAGAGGAAAGAGAGGAGGCAGGAGGCAAAAAAAAGAAAGAGGACGTACTAAGGACAGTCATTTATAATTTAAGCAATGTCATTTTTACTGAAAGAGAATTGAAAGTTTTAGATTTGGTTCTCAAATTTGTTCCCAAGACTAACCTTAATAAATTTGATGTTTTTATCGATTTGCAAAAATTTGTGAGGAAATTAAATATAAAAAATTCTTTTGAGCTTAATAAACAGAAAAAACCTCATCTGTCACCGATTGGGTTTAAAAATAGTGGTTTAAAGAATGCTTCTACTTTCAACCCCAATAATTCTGGAAACTCTTTTTTGAAAGTATTTAAAAACATGGTAAAAAAAAAGGATCTAAAAAACTTGAGTATAAAAGGTTTTCACCATACTCCTAAAGACATTCTTTTGGGTATTGAAGATCTTGAGAAGAAGAAGAATATAGTGATTAGGGGAGCTGATAAGGGAGGGAGTATCGTCATCCTTAATAAAGAGGATTATGAAGCTGAAATGAATAGGTTATTAAATATTAAGGATACATATTAGACGACTTACTGGCAATCCTACAAAAAAAACATAAAATATTATTAAAGGGCATTATTAAGAAAGGTAATGAAAAAGGGGATTCTGAATGATAAAGAGGCTAGGTACCTGGTGATAAAAAATCCTATAACACCTACGATTTATTTTTTACCTAAGATACACAAACATCAAGAGAAACCTCCTGGTAGGCCTATTATTAGTGGGACTAACTCACTTTTTGCCAGAGTTGGCGAATATATTGATTTTTTCCTCCAGGACATAGTTATGAATAATAAGTCGTATCTAAAAGATAGCGGCAAACTTATCAATATTTTGAGAAGTTTGGATTACTGTAGGGACTGCATTTTGGTAACCATTGATGTAGAATCGCTCTACACCAATATTGATCAAAATGATGGGATCAAAGCTGTAAAGTGGGCCCTAAAACATAAATCTAATTTAAAGAGAGCCCAAAGGAGTTTGATTGTCGAACTATTGGAATTAGCTATGAACAACAACTTTTTTTGGTATAAGGGAACTTTTTTTCAGCAATGAAAGGGCGTTGCCAATTTGGTAATGCACAAATGGGAGGAAGAGTGTATCTATGACAAATGGCCAGAGATGGCTCTGTACAGGCGATACATTGATATCATAATATGGAATGGCACCTATGAACATCTGAATAATTTTATTGAACAGATCGATAATAATATGTATGGTTTAAGATTTACGGTAACTAGCAATCTGAATCAGATTAATTTTCTTGACCTCATATTATAAAAAAGTAATGGTGAAATTTTGACTAAAACTTTTTTCAAGGAAGTTGATAAAAATAGCTATATTCCTGCAATCAGTGGACACCATCCTAGATGGCTTCACAATACACCTAGGAGCCAATTTATGAGAATTAAAAGAATATAATATATATAGTCTTTTATATAATATATAAAAGACTATATCAAACAGATATTATTAATGAAAGATTTGTGGAGAAGGGGTATGAGAGGCCTTTTCTTCTTAAAGAAAGAAATTTCATTAATGAAAAAAATAGAGAGTCTCTTTTGAATAAGTTATCTAAGGAATTTGAGAACAATATTAGCTTCATTACCAATTTTAATATGCAATATCGTAAGGTTGAAAGAATTTTTAAAAAATATTGGCCTGTGTTGTTACAAGATGATACCCTAAAGAAAATTATTCCTAAAAAAACAAAATTTGTCTATAGGAAAAACAGGTCATTAAGGACAAGAATAGCCCAGAATGTTATAGATCCCCCTAAAAGTAGAGTTGTTTCCAGATCTAAAAGGTTTCTTTTACTGCAACAAATGTATACAAGATGAGAGAGGCCTGTAATTGGCATCATAGGTAGACCAACTATGAGAGACAAAATGAGAAAAGAAATCCAGACAGACAATGACATTGGCTGATTTGGAAAGAATTTATTTGCAAATTATGGTGGAAAATAAGTATTTGGTCAATATCAAAAGTTAATCTCAATACTTTGTTATATATCCTTTGTTGGCAATGACAGAGGTCAAACGTTTCCTGTAAGTCTTCACAAGGTTGGCACACACTGTTGCTGGTATGTTGGCCCATTCCTCCATGCAGATCTCCTCTAGAGCAGTGATGTTTTGGGGCTGTCGCTGGGCAACATGGACTTTCAACTCCCTCCAAAGGTTTTCTATGGGGTTGAGATCTGGAGACTGGCTAGGCCACTACAGCACCTTGAAATGCTTCTTGCGAAGCCACTCCTTTGTTGCCCGGGCCGTCTGTTTGGGATCATTGTCATGTTGGAAGACCCAGCCACGTTTCATCTTCAATGCCCTTGCTGATGGAAGGAGGTTTGCACTCAAAATCTCACGATACATGGCCCCATTCATTCTGTCCTGTACATGGATCAGTCATCCTGGTCCCTTTGCGGAGAAACAGCCCCAAAGCATGATGTTGCAACCCCCATGCACCACAGTAGGTATGGTGTTCTTTGGATGCAACTCAGCATTCTCTCTCCTCCAAACACGACGAGTTGTGTTTCTACCAAACAGTTCTATTTTGGTTTCATCTGACCATATGACATTCTCCCAATCCTCTTCTGGATCATCCAAATGCTCCCTAGCAAACTTCAGACCGCCCCAGACATGTACTGGCTTAAGCAGGGGGACACATCTGGCACTGCAGGATCTGAGTCCCTGGCGGCGTAGTGTGTTATTGATGGTATAAAACAGAAGCCAGGAAGGGGATAATCAAAGGGATAATCAAGAGCGGACGGCTCGTCTCACAACAGGATCAGATTGCAATTGAAATATGAAAACACATTATAAGGACAGGAACAAAGTGTAAATAAAACCTTGCGAGACGAGCCGTCTGCTCTTGATTATTCCCTTGGTTGTTAAGCCGGCCCCTTCTGCCGTGCAGGTCTCCTATAAAATGGCCGATTGTTGGACTTTTCACAGACTTGACAAAGCGCATGCGCGCGAAACATGTCCTGGCAACCGGCCTGTTCCTTCTAAAGCTGTGGCTCCAGCAAGAGTTCCCCCCCCTCCGTTTCTCCACATCGTGGTGATGTCATCCAGGACGCTGGGACGTCGGGTACATGTGGTCCCTGCACTGACAGCCATTCTACTCCACTGCTTCCCTCTGAGCGTACGGGCCGTCCATCTTGTAACCTGGCTTCCTAAAGCCACAGGCTGGTTATTTATTTTTTTACCACATGAATTATTAAAGACACACCTCCATACAAAGTGTATTATTTTTATCACAAAACTACACAGCGCCTGGCTTCTGTTTTATACCTCCCACAAACCGATGTGTTTTTACCATGGCAGCAGCGTGTTTTTTCTCCACCAATCATAGTTGACATATACCATTCACTTATTTCCTTTGGGACACATCTGTGCGCTTTTATCCAGACTGTTACTGATGGTAGCCTTTGTTACGTTGGTCCCAGCTCTCTGCAGGTCATTCACTAGGTCCCCCCGTGTGGCCCTGGGATTTTTGCTCACCGTTCTTGTGATCATTTTGACCCCACGAGGTGAGATCTTGCGTGGAGCCCCAGATCAAGGGAGATTATCCGTGGTCTTGTATGTCTTCCATTTTCTAATTATTGCTCCCACAGTTGATTTGTTCACACCAAGCTGCTTGCCTATTGCAGATTCTGTCTTCCCAGCCTGGTGCAGGTCTACAATTTTGTTTCTGATGTCCTTCGACAGCTCTTTGGTCTTCACTAAAGATGAGCGAAGTATTCAAAAATTCGATTCGACTGATTCGGCGAATTTGTGGACAATATTCGATTCGAGTCGAATATATTCGCTGTGAATTTAACTTAAAAAAGGGTGTTTCTAGGCTTCAGAGAGACTTAATATTAGTGCAGAACACTGTACCTTTAATTTAAATGCCCTTGGAGTCTACTGGGGAAGAGAAATAATACTGTCAGTCAGTATGACATGCAGATGAGTGCCGTCGATCTTAGAATCACCGCACACTTCACTCATTTGGCCAGTCACGGGGCCAAAACCAGTGTTTGGAGCCACAGTGTGGCGGTGGAGGCAGCAGCAATGGGAGGCCATACAGCAACCTATGACAAAATGGAAACCAGCAGGAGTGTGAGGAGACCTCAAAGTGGCACATGGCAGAGTGGGAGCAATGGGAGGCGGTACAGGGACCCATGTCACACTGTGGACCCAGCAGCAGCGTGACAAGGCGGTACGGGGGCCCATGGCAGATTTGGGGCCTGGCAGCACCTATGGGAGGCCTGTAATCTGCCAGCAACCTATGACAAAATGGAAACCAGCAGGAGTGTGAGGAGACCTGAAAGTGGCACATGGCAGAGAGGGAGCAATGGGAGGCGGTACAGGGACCCATTTCACACTGTGGACCCAGCAGCAGCGTGACCAGGCGGTACGGGGGCCCATGGCAGATTACAGGCCTGGCAGCAGCAATGGGAGGCCCGTAATCTGCCAGCACCCTATGACAAAAAATGGAACACACCAGCAGTGTGTGAGGAGACCTGAAAGTGGCACATGGCAGAGTGTGGCGATGGAGACAGCAGCAATGGGAGGCCGTACAGGGACCCATGAGAGACTCTGGACCTGGCAGCAGCATGAGGAGGCGGTATAGGGGCCCATGGCAGATTAGGGGCCTGGCAGCAGCTATAGGAGGCCCGTAATCTGCCAGCACCCTATGACAAAAAATGGAACACACCAGCAGTGTGAGGAGACCTGAAAGTGGCACATGTTTGGGGCATGATTCATGGCGGATTTAGTCAGTTGTGTCAGGAACTGGTGGTTTGAAATCCAGACTAATCCACGCCTGATTCATTTTCACAAACGTGAGTCTCTCCACACTTTGGGTGGACAGTCGTGTCCTCCGCGGAGTTGCAATACCTCCTGCCGCACTAAACACGCGCTCCGATGCCACGCTACTGGCCGGGCATGACAGCCTTTCAAGGGCAAATTCAGCTAGTTGGGGCCAAAGGTCAAGTTTCGTTGCCCAGTAGTCAAGGGGATTGTCTACCTCGGTTGGCAGGGTGCTGTCCAAGTAGGCCTAAGCCTGTTGTTTGAGGTCCTGCTCCAGGTCCACCTGATGCTGCTGCTGCTGCTGCGGCTGGTTATTAGTTTCCTCACTGCGCTGGTGAAGAAAGCTACTCATCATCGACTGCAGACTGAGGCAGCTGCTGCTGGTGGAGCTGCCACTGCTCCTACCACCCCACCCCTCCCCTGCTGCCATGGCAGCGTAACGCGAGCGCACAGGGCCCACAGTGTCTGAGGATGGACGTTGGCGCAGACAGGCAGAGACCAGCTGACTACATAGGTGGTTTTTATAGTACGTTATTTTGGCCTCCCTCTCAGCAGGTGTGAAAAAGGCCACCATTTTGGAACGGTAGCGAGGGTCCAACAAGGTGGACAGCCAAAAGTCATCCCTCTGTCTGATGGTTATTATTCGGCTGTCAGTACGCAAGCAAGCGAGCATGCTATGGGCCATTTGTGCCAAGGAATGCGAGGGACTCCCTGCCTCCATCTCCACAGCATACTGCCACGGTGCGTCTGGGTCCTCTGTCTCCTCTTCCTCCTCCTCTACCAGATGCTCCTGCTCCTCCACTCCTGTCCGCTGAGTGGAAAAACCACCCATTTCACTCAATAATTCCTGAGCACCAATGTCCTCCTCTACCTCCTCCTCTTCTTCCTGTCCTGCCCCCACAGGGGTCATGTGGCGTTGAGATCTGTGCGCCACGTCTACCGCACCCTGACCAGCCATTATTAACAGCATTTGTTCCAGGACGTGCAACAGAGGAATGACGTCGTTCATCCCATAGTCCTGCCGACTCACGAATAGCGTGGCCTCCTCAAAGGGCCTGAGCAAGCGCAGGTGTCACGCATGAGCTGCCAATGGCTGACATCTAAGTTACACAGGGAGTACCTTTATCCGCTTTTAACATCAGGAAATCTGTGATGGCCTTTTGCTGTTCGTAAAGGCGGTCTAACATATGTAGGGTTGAATTCCACCTTGTTGCAACGTCACAGCATGAGGAGTCGGTACGGGGGCCCATGGCAGATTACGGGCCTGGCAGCAGCAATGGGAGGCCCGTAATCTGCCAGCACCCTATGTCAAAAAATTCAACACACCAGCAGTGTGTGAGGAGACCTGAAAGTGGCACATGGCAGAGTGTGGCGATGGAGACAGCAGCAATGGGAGGCCGTACAGGGACCCATGAGAGACTCTGGACCTGGCAGCAGCATGAGGAGGCGGTATAGGGGCCCATGGCAGATTAGGGGCCTGGCAGCAGCTATAGGAGGCCCGTAATCTGCCAGCACCCTATGTCAAAAAATTCAACCACCAGCAGTGTGAGGAGACCTGAAAGTGGCACATGGCATGAGACACTGTGGACCTGGCAGCAGCAGCATGAGGAGGCGGTACAGGGGCCCATGGCAGATTAGGGGCCTGGCAGCAGCTATGGGAGGCCCGTAATCTGCCAGCACCCTATGTCAAAAAATTCAACACACCAGCAGTGTGTGAGGAGACCTGAAAGTGGCACATGTTTGGGGCATGATTGTGGCGATGGAGACAGTCAGTTGTGTCAGGAACTGGTGGACTCTGAAATCCAGACAGCAGCTGATTCATTTTCACAAACGGAGCCCTGGCAGATTAGGGGCCTGGCAGCAGTCGTGTCCTCCACGGAGTCTACAAGCACCTATGCCGCAAAAAACTAAACACACCAGCTGTGAGGAGACCACGCTACTGGCCGGGCATGACAGCCTTTCAAGGGCAAATTCAGCTAGTTGGGGCCAAAGGTCAAGTTTCGTTGCCCAGTAGTCAAGGGGATTGTCTACCTCGGTTGGCAGGGTGCAGCAGGGTGCTATCCAAGTAGGCCCAAGCCTGTTGTTTGAGGTCCTGCTCCAGGTCCACCCTGCTGCTGCTGCTGCTGGCTGGTTAGTAGTTTCCTCACTGCGCTGGTGAAGAAAGCTACTCATCATCGAATGCAGACTGAGGCAGCCGCTGCTGGTGGAGCTGCCACACCCTGTAAAAAACCCCACCCCCCTTTGCTGCCATGGCAGCGGCACACAGTGAGCGCACAGGGCCCACAGTGTCTGAGGATGGACGTTGGGCGCACAAAGGCAGAGACCAACTGACTACATAGGTGGTTTTTTATAGTACGTTATTTTGGCCTCCCTCTCAGCAGGTGTGAAAAAGGCCACCATTTTTGAACGGTAGGGAGGGTCCAACAAGGTGGACAGCCAAAAGTCATCCCTCTGTCTGATGGTTATTATTCGGCTGTCGCTACGCAAGCAACCGAGCATGCTATGGGCCATTTGTGCCAAGGAATGCGAGGGACTCCCTGCCTCCATCTCCACAGCATACTGCCACGGTGCATTGGTCCCTCTGTCTCCTCCTCCTCCTCCTCTACCAGATGCTCCTGCTCCTCCACTCCTGTCCGCTGAGTGGAAAAACCACCCATTTCACTCAATTCCTGAGCACAAATGTCCTCCTCTACCTCCTCCTCTTCTTCCTGTCCTGCCCCCACAGGGGTCATGTGGCGTTGAGATCTGTGCGCCACGTCTACCGCACCCTGACCAGCCATTGTTAACAGCATTTGTTCCAGGACGTGCAACAGAGGAATGACGTCGTTCATCCCATAGTCCTGCCGACTCACGAATAGCGTGGCCTCCTCAAAGGGCCTGAGCAAGCGGCAGGTGTCACGCATGATGAGCTGCCAATGGCTGACATCGAAGTTACACATGGGAGTACGGTTTATCCGCTTGTAACATCAGGAAATCGGTGATGGCCTTTCGCTGTTCGTAAAGGCGGTCTACCATGTGTAGGGTTGAATTCCACCTTGTTGCAACGTCGCAGATCAGGCGATGCTGTGGAATTCCGTTCTGCCGCTGCAGCTCAAGGAGGGTGTGCTTTGCGGTGTAGGAATGGCTGAAATGCATGCAAAGTTTACGTGACATTTTAAGGATGTCTTGCAGTGGGATGGGGATTTTAGGAACCGCTTGACAACCAGATTGAACACGTGGCCATGCATGGCGCATGGCACAACCTTACTTGACGCAGAGCAGACACCATGTTCTTTCCGTTGTCGGTCAACATGGTTCCGATTTTCTGTTTGCGCGGAGACAGCCATCTGTCGATTTCTCTGTTCATTACACTGAGAAGTTCCTCCCCTGTGTGACTACGTTCGCCTGGACCTGGCAGCAGCATGAGGAGGCGGTATAGGGGCCCATGGCAGATTAGGGGCCTGGCAGCAGCTATGGGAGGCCCGTAATCTGCCAGCACCCTATGACAAAAAATGGAACACACCAGCAGTGTGTGAGGAGACCTGAAAGTGGCACATGGCAGAGTGTGGCGATGGAGACAACCCACCGACTGTTTTGCTCGCTGCCAAGCTGCCACCCTCTTCTCCTGATGATGCGGAAGCAATAGCCTGATGACGACGAGGCTGCCAAGTGCGATCAGCCTCATCATCATCAATTAGGGTCTCCGCCTCACTACTAGCCCCCTCGGCTGCGTGTGGGTCAGGAGACAGACCTGTCTCTAGACCGGCTACCGAGCCACTCTCCTCGCCACTACTTCTTCGCCTGGCTGCTGAAGAGGCGGATGTCTCCCCCCGTTCCTGACCGCCCTCTGTTAGCTCTTCCTCACTGTACTGGATGACACCGGGAGCACTAGCCTCTGGCTGCGAATAGTGCTGCCTCGACCCCTTCCTCTGCTGCCACGTCTGCTCGCTCCTAAAACATTGCCTCCTCTGCCACTCCTCTGCATGTTGTCTGACATACTCTTTAATTAAACGATTCTGTGTCCCTGAGTAACAGTTCTGTGGCCCTCAGTAACAGTTCTGTGGCCCTCAGTAACAGTTCTGTGGCCCTCAGTAACAGTTCTGTGGCCCTCAGTAACAGTTCTGTGGCCCTCCGTAACAGTTCTGTGGCCCTCGTAACAGTTCTGTGGCCCTCAGTAACAAGTTCTGTGAGTAACAATTCTGTGTCTGTCCCTGAGTAACAATTCTGTGTCTGTCCCTGAGTAACAATTCTGTGTCTGTCCCTGAGTAACAATTCTGTGTCTGTCCCTGAGTAACAATTTCTGTGGCCCTAAGTAACAGTTCTGTGGCCCTAAGTAACAGTTCTGTGGCCCTAAGTAACAATTCTGTGGCCCTCAGTAAGAATTCTGTGTCTGTCCCTGAGTAAGAATTCTGTGGCCCTAAGTAACGGTTCTGTGGCCCTCAGTAACAATTCTGTGTCCCTGAGTAACAATTCTGTGGCCCTAAGTAACGTTTCTGTGGCCCTAAGTAACAATTCTTTGTCCCTGAGTAACAATTCTGTGTCTGTCCCTGAGTAACAATTCTGTGGCCCTAAGTAACGGTTCTGTGGCCCTCAGTAAAAATTCTGAGTCCATCAGTAACAATTCTGTGTCTGTCCCTGAGTAACAATTCTGTGGCCCTAAGTAACGGTTCTGTGGCCCTCAGTAACAATTCTGTGTCCCTGAGTAACGTTTCTGTGGCCCTAAGTAACAATTCTGTGGCCCTCAGTAACAATTCTGTGTCTGTCCCTGAGTAACAATTCTGTGGCCCTAAGTAACGGTTCTGTGGCCCTCAGTAACAATTCTGTGTCCCTGAGTCCCTGAGTAACGTTTCTGTGGCCCTAAGTAACAATTCTGTGTCCCTGAGTAACAATTCTGTGTCTGTCCCTGAGTAACAATTCTGTGGCCCTAAGTAACGGTTCTGTGGCCCTCAGTAACAA